TTTTATTTTGCCTCTCGTGATACCTGTACCTTTCTTTCGTTCTAGAATAAATGCACTACAGTCTAAGCCGACAAGCTTTGCATGGGATCCGGGTGGAACAGTACTCGATCCTTGTGAGTTCGTGATATAGATGGTGAAGATACAAGTGAACATATGAAATATCATGTATTTCTCAGAGCTCCAAGATGATAATTTAATTTTCAGAGGTAGTTGTACCTTTCCTTTACGGAGTAAGACTGAGTAAAAAACAGAGTTCCAGGGATTTATAGTTTTTTTTAATTTTCATTTCGTATGAATATGCCTTGGTTTTCCCAGTAATGGTTGGTTCCATAACTCCCCTTACAAACGGCATATTCTTTTTTCTTTTTTGTTGCAACTACAAAACAACAATGCATTACTTACAAGGTTTGCAAGTCAATACTTCTTACACTACAATACTTACGCGAATTTGTTTTTAGTTAGTTAAGGCCGTAAGACTTATTGCAGGTCCGAAACTTTGGTCTCTCAGCTTAACTTATACAAAAAAAATACGTATAATACTCTTTGCAACTAACGAAATCAGTTATATACTAAGCTAGAAACATCCGATCTTCGATTCTCTGCATCTTCCGGCATAAACGGTCACTTCCTGAAATCTGAAAAATAGAACATATATATGAGTCTCATCTTAAAGTGCCCATAATGTCAAAAAAATTTTTTTCACTCATCTAGTTATTCATTTCACCTAATGAACTTCTGCAAAAAAATTTTTCGATTTGGATAAAATGCAATTTTTTAAATAAATTTTTAAAGACGTTCAAATTCGCCGCCATTTTGGTCCACCATTCGCACCAGTCTTCCTCGGTTTGAAGTGAGTCGTGACCTAGGTTCAGGAACACGTGATTTGGGTCATGACTTATCTGACTTGAAAACAAGTGGAGATTTTGCTTCAGAGTTGTCTACATTTAGTTGAAAATGCCGGAAAGGTGCGTTGCCGCTCTTCATAACAACGTTAATGATCCAGAAAACAACATCGGTGTTCATCGTAGGTTCCTGAACCTACGTCCCAGGCAACAGTCTCTTGGCCATTTTGAGCACGTTATTCTTGTGATCAGCGGCAGGGGTCGACCGCAAGAAAATAGAATTTTGAACNCGTAGGTTCCTGAACCTACGTCCCAGGCAACAGTCTCTTGGCCATTTTGAGCACGTTATTCTTGTGATCAGCGGCAGGGGTCGACCGCAAGAAAATAGAATTTTGAACTTTGTAAAGATTTGTAAAAAATTGCGTTTTATCCAAATCGAAAATTTTTTTCGCAGAAGCTCACTAGGTGAAATGGAGAATTAGATGAGCGAAAAAAAAGTTTTGACATTATGGGCACTTTAACGGCTCCACTGACGCGCTCGCTTTTCGAGCTTGATTAGCACAGCAAAATATCCTGATTCACCGAGTTGCTCACAAATGAACTGACCGACCTGTTGCAATGTCGTAGAAGATTTCCGCTGGTAAAGAAGGGTAGCTTCTCTTATGTGGCTCTTCGTAGATATGGTCTGAAGCTTCTTGATCTCTCCCACTGGCTACGTTACTTCCTTCGGACTCAACCACTGCCTCATCGGTGTGTTCATTTTCCTTGTAACGTGCTTTGGCTCCACTGGCATTTTCCAAGTCTTCCATTACCTTGAAAGATTCTGTTCGAGACTTGCCTCCACGTCGTCGCTGTGAATTTTAATTATTAGACAGATATTTATTAAATGCGTTGAAGCCATTAGCAGCGGGATCGTTAAAGTAGGCCTTTTAGTGGACTTACTGAACTTTTAAACACTATTGAATTCCTAATGCACAACTGTATCTATTTATGGCCATGCAAATATAGCCAGCTGTTGTTGATAAATATATACCCGCGCACATATATTGGGCTTATTAAACACAAAAAGATCACTGGAATAGACGGACAAAGCAGTCTGCGAGATTTATCTGGCTGATACCGAGGGTCGGAGTGGAGGTTGTAGTACATTCTTGTGGATTTTTCAGCTATCATTCAAAATTTCAGCCCATTTTTCAGTTATCAGTAGATTTTAAAGATCTAAGCCTGCGTAGCTTGGCGGTTTTCAAGCAATTTGAGCGCGCTAAGAAAGCGGCGAAGCCGCGTTAACGAGCGCCAAATCCGCGAGGAGCCTGGGAGAGAGACAACTGAGAAACTGCCTGCATGGATGACCGGCATTTTTGTTGGTCCAGTACGCTGGCGTGCGGACCATTGCCTTTGGATCAGAAGGTTAACACATCTATCAAAACGTTCGCTTATCTCTCAAGGGAAGGCTCCAAGGAAAAGCTCCAAGGAACAGCACTGATTACAACGCAGATCTTTGGCGTGTAAACAGAAAGTAATTGCGAAAGCGTTGTCGAAAGCATTATCGCACCTGAATTACGCACACGATCAGATGATGTGTCTGATATTTCTATTTATAGACCAATTTCAGATTTCTGACAAAGTACCATTTTGAAATCCTTCACGCTTAGAGACCTTGAAAAGGTTTTGCATGGAAATGTTTAAATTCTGCGAATTTAATCTTGAGCGGACAACAACACAGTCTACAATTATCGAGTTTACACTTCTCTCGATTCCTCCCTTGACAGGCTTTGCTCTTCGCCGCCATCGAGCAAACACCACATTGGATAGTTTTGTTTTGATAGACGACTCTACAGTATCACAGTGACTTTTCCCTGCTAATTTGGCTGGAAGTTTCTTTTCACGATCTATGCTCTGATTAGCTGTGTTAATACGATTCACAAAATCTGTCATCGGGTTGTCAAAATATGTAATACTTTTTTTGTTGTTGTTGGTCATTGACTTTTGTTTTATTTGGTGGCTCCTAAAGGAGCCGTTTTGTGTTTTGTTGACGCCGGA